ATACCTAATTGTGGTAAAATATGTATTAGTACTTGTTTATAAACATGTCTTTATCCATAACTTTCTCTATCTGGTATTCTCTTGTAGTCAACAGATCTTTCAGCTGTCTCTTGCACCTCTCGCACATCCACGTTAGTTATCATTGATTTTTTTTTGTTTTGACTGATTGACACTATTCTGATATATCTAGAATAAATTAAAGTTGGGATTTATTCTTGGTTTTTGGTCAGCAATTGAAAACACAATAATTAAAAGTTGTTTTTATTAGTCTATCTTATGAACATTTATAGCTAGACAGTTGAAATTTTCACAGATAATGTATCTATGTTGCCGCTATAAAAATAAATACTAAAAACAGAATTAAATAAATGTTTATATATAAAAAAGTACTTTCACTAAACATTATCTTTTAAGTAAGAATTTTACATAGAATCTTTCAAGTCCTCGGTGGCCGCGTGGTTAAAGCGTTAGGACTTTACGCTGCTATGACGTTGGATCCGTAGTAATGCAGGTTCGAATCCTAGTCAAGGCCATGATTATTAAAAGGTAAGGTAGTCTCGTAACTTTTGGACCAATAGGAGCAGTGGCGGACTAAGCCAGTCGGGGACCCGGAGCGGCGAAGCTTAATGTGGGCCCCGGTCTGTTCATCCATACTTCTAATGCACATTTTGCAAAGATGGAATTTTGCAAAACGTATTGACGTATGTATAATGGTTGACAAAATTCAAGTATTTATCCAGGGTGTCCCAGGCTCAGCGTGCATTAGAAGTTTCTAGAGAACTACAATATCTAGATCGGAGATTTTTTGCACATTATTGTTTCACAACGAGATCTATCGACTAAAAACATTTTCAATATGGCGGCACTTCCGGAAGTACCGGAAGTTGACAGCAACTTTCTTATTTTAAACGGGTGCCCTCATTTTTTAAATTCTCTGTAAAATTTTATGAATTTTGATATTAAAAACTCTATACCTAACGTTAACTGTTTTTAAGGAAAAAAAATATTTATAATTTTGGGACAAAAAAACTGCTTGTCAAAAATATGTGTATAGCCCAGTGGCGCATCTAGAGACTAAGTCTGGGAGGGGTAGTGGCAATATTTAAATAAAGTACTAAATATAAATTAAATTTTTGGTGACCGTTAGTATGACTGTGAAATAAAATATACATACTTGGATTGGTTTAGATTGGTATTATTAACTACTTTTGTAACAATTAGTGTATTTTATAGCACAATTTATCTTATTTATTAATTTCTTCATGGGAGGGGTAGTTACACCATTACCCTTCCTATATATGCGCCCGTAATATAGCCTAAATGTCAAATTTAGTGATTACCACAGCCACTATACCATAAAGAAAAGACATGTGGCTATCTATTTCAAAAATTAAATTGTGTCTGAATAAAGCATTGTGGCTGAATGTCGTATGATAATGGCTGCAGCTGTGATGGAATTGAGCGATTAATGCAATTAATGTAATAAAACAAGTAATAGTCAACTAAATTAGAGGTGGCAAAATTAAATAATAATTCACCACAATACATAAAACTCTAAGATTTAATCATCTGCTGATGATATTAACATGGTTAACGAAATGCGCGTCTAGTGCGAAAATAAAGTGTTTTGGTGTATTGTGGTGAACTAGTATTTTATTTTACTGTTGTAACACTAAAGGTTCCAACCTCAAGTGTAATAAATTACAGCGATTAAATTATTGAAATCCCCGAGCGAATGTTCGCATGTATTTAATGGCAACTTATGATGACAAAATGATGGAAATACCGGTTCCACAAATGAGCCGCGTTACTTTCGTGACCGTTCCAGGGAAATACTCCAATTACCGCTACAAAATATCGCAGTTTTGTAAGTCCTCCAAGATTCGAGGGGCCTCTTCGCTGTCTCAGGCTCGTGGCCCCCGTTATACTAAAGACGGCAGTACTCACCATCGGTTAGAAAGTTAGAATACAAGTTATGCTGTGCATTGGTTGTAATTTAAAATGTTTATTCAGTAAAAATAAATAATGAAAGCATTGAAATATAACTTAAAGCTAAAATAAATAATTTCAAGTTTATATTCATAATTATTGTAATCTTTAAAATTATAAAAAATAATAATTATTCGATATTTTAAACAAAGAAAATTATCCCTTGATTTAATTTCTTAAATAGAAAATGCCATTGAGAATTACTGGGGCCTGATAATAGATAATTAAGTAAATATCTGCTTCTATTTATACTGTTTATAGTTTGCGTATACGTATAGGTATATGGTTTGCATACTCCACCTACAAATTGCTTCATAACTACTGAACACATATTGGTCTTGTTTGCTAGTTGAATAAAAAATTATTTATTGAGATTTGGAGGCCCCCTAGACCACTAGGACCGCCTCTTCCGCCCCCCCCCCCCTTAGTCCGCCATTGAATAGGAGCGAAGCGGAATAGCATCCCTCTGACGTAGATAGAACGTATAAAATCATAGAATAAAAGAAATAGAAAATAAAATGCAACCGACAAAGAGAAATAAATGGTCAATACAATAAAGAAAACACACATCAAACAACTGAAAACTATTGACACCATACACTATAAACAATAAAGTACACAATGAATATCGATTCAAAAATGCGGTCGGACTGTGGGCAGTTTTTATCCCTTTATCTATGAGCGGTATCATTCCTATGACGTAGTAGATGACGTTTTTGATAATGGCGGATCGAGTTACGAGACAACCTTATCTTTTAATAACCTTGACTCAAGGCGACTTTTTTTAATCGTTTTTTTTAATTTTTACATATTTTTACATATTTATTTTTACTTTTTACATATTTATTATTGATTAATACAATTTTTAGTAATGTGTTTCTTCATTTTTTTTAATTACTTATACGCGCAGTCAAAGTTTCAGCTAAATCGGAAAAAAAGTTTATAATAATATAGTGTCTAATGTTGTATAGATAATGAATGGTACGGAACCCTTCGCGCACGAGTCCGACTCGCACTTGACCAATTTTTTTACGTACATTTCGACCATTCTTAGATCTTCTTCAGAAATTATAATCATTCTCTAGAAACACGATTCAATTTTGCTCAACTCGAAAAGATCCAGGTAATAGATGTCATTCAGAGAGTCAAATCCCTCAAATGGCAATGGGCAGGACACCTGGCAAGAAAAACGAACAAAAGATAGACCTTAAAAATTACAACATGGTACCCGTGAGGAATTAAGAGACCTAGAAGAAGATGGAAAAAAGAATAAATTAAATAGTTTGTTTTTATTTCGAAAAATAAAAATATTATGTATATCTTTTTAAAGACTTAGTTGTTGCATGTTTTATTGGTCTTATGATCTTTTATATCTCCTCTGTAGTAAGAGGATGATTTACTGATTCGGATGTGGTATAGATGAGATAGTGTTTGTCGAGCCACCAGAAGTCTTATATTTGGTATTGTTATGAGTTTGTGTGTTACCCATATTTAAAAAAATAGTTGTTCTTAACTTTTACTACTGACCAAATATAAGTCAGTACAGTCTCCAATAACGCGTAAAAGTCAAGAAAGAGACTCCTCCCAAAAAAAGTACCTACAGCAAAACTATCAATTTTATATTGCAAGTGTTTTAATTTTATTTTTGTTTAAATTTACCGATTTAATACTATTAGAAAAGAGGAGAAATGAAAAAAATTCATTATGAGACATTCAGGAAAAAAAACAATTTAGCAAAAACAAAATCATAATACATTATATTATATACGGCAGATGTTGTGTGGTCAGAACAGTTCATCAATAAAGTATTAAGCGAGTTTGAACAGTAGTGAAATTTCTGCGTCTTAGGGTACCTACATAGTGAGGCATCTCGATGCGATGCTCGCCGCGATGCATCCTACGCGCCCTTACTCGCCGTTTTAAAACAGTGCTTAAAACGTGCGCGTAGGATGCATCGTGCCATGAACTTTGGTGCGACTGATATTGGAGATGGAGAACTACCCTCTGTAAAACCGTCACAGATACTGGCTTTTGTCAAAGCCCTGGGACTGTATGATGAGTTATAATTCAAGGAAGGGGGACACAATAGATATGTAAGGTCGCAGTGATTAACCCCCCTCTAACTCATTCTAAATTCTAAAAAAATTCTAACTCTGTAAACTGCGTATCGAATAACGTGTATGGTACAGGGTTACTAATAGCACGTTAATTGAAAATTTATTAAAATCTATAATCCTGATGTTCAGTGCTATCTACAGCGAATTAAAAAAAAAATAATGACACTTAAAATAATTACATAAGAGACCTATTTTTTAAACGTTTTAACATCCTGAAATTTTAAAGCTATGCATTTCCCAATAAACATTTATTGGAACTTTTATTTATATTTTTTGGTGAGGAATCAATGGAGTATTTATTTAACACTTTGGCCAGTTAATGACATTAAAAAAATCCTATTCGACTTGGATTAAGGCAAATTAATAAAGTTGTGTTCAAGGAGACCCAAATCGATAAAATATGAAAACAACTTTTAATCGATATTGAACGTTTACACCGTTAAAAAAAGTCCACAACATTTTTAATTAGAAAAATATTCTAGTTATAACCCTTATGAGGTGTTTATGCACGTCCCTGGTGAATATATCGACACTTTTTTAGCATTAGAATATGTCGCACTTATAGCAAATTTCCTCCTCACAATTTCAGACGAATCGCCAAAAGCATTTGGAAAAAAATATAATAAATCGAAAAAAAATAAAATTGTAACTTTCTGTAGCTACTAAATAAAGCAGAATGGTCCTATGTCGATATAAAAAAATAAATCTTATTTTTACGTGAAGAACCACCCCACGAGAGACGCCACATGTTTTTGAAACACCCTGTATAAAGAACATGATACGCCGTCTTTCCCTCCGTTCAATCGGTCTTATTGAGAAGATGTAAGAGATGGCATTATACCTTCCAGCATTTTCGTATCTGAAATAAAATAATAGCTAGTCTCGCGGAAGAAACAGTCTCTTCAGGAAGACACCTAGTTACACAAGTGAAATGAAGAAGTTTTACGTAATCTTGGTAAGTCCTGGCATATATGTTAACGGTATAGAGTATACTTTAAGATAAGAATTTAACATTTAAAATGTCTTAAAAATATTGAAGTAGAACAAGTTTAATAAGTAACTGATACAGACAAATTATGCTTTAATAATAGGCTAGAAAATAATAAACGAAAATCTCAGACTAACTTACAAATTCATTTTTTTCGTAATATATAAATAATTATTTTACTAAAGTACTATGCACTGAAACAGTAAACTAAAAAATTATTTAAGTTGTAACTTAAACTGCGCGTCCCTGACGGTATTGTACAATTACAAATCGACAAAAAATCAATTTTTTATAGAATATCAGTTGGTTTGTAATCCAGTGGACACAAACTTTGCGGTGGCTCGTTACTCATAAACAAATTTAACATTACCACAATAAGGTAAAAATTTAAAGTGTTTTGGTTTTTAATAGAATTCGATATTTTAAATAGATTTTTCATCTTTCGTTTTCTATTGGTAACATGTAGGTCCTGATGTAGTGGCGGATATAGAGGGGGCCCATGGGGCCAAGCCCCCCTCCTAACATCTATAAATTGGGTTAAATATTTGGTTTTTGGGTTAAAAATGGATTCCTAAAAACCATATTCTACATTACTTTTATTTTTACATAAATTCCTGTATCCGCCCCTGTCTTGAAATGTGTAGGTTTAAAGTATTCTTTTTATTGATTTGGTAAATTACACGTAAAGGTAAATATACACGTAAAGAGTCACTCAAGTTCTTTATTGGATAATAAACTCAATAACATTAAACAAGAATAAATACATTTATTTTGCCGTTCTCTTTTTCAGTTACAAAACCCATCAGTAAATGGTATACTATTAAACCTATTAATAGATTAATAGGTCTAGATATACATAGTATTTACTAGATATATGTATTAGTATAAAAATATACATACCGTGAACATTTAAATAATGCAATTTTTTACCCATAGATTTATTTAACTTATAAAGATACTTATAAACTGTTAATAATATTGTTTTATAACAATACAATATTGTCTGAATAATTACTAATCTGTCTTACAAAATTTGAGTTACAATAACCTTTGTTACTATTATACTTTCACGTTTCGCAAATAGAGGTTGATACTTCTTATTCTTGGTTACGAATGAACTACATCCATTGTCATTTAACAAAGCAGTTATGAAAATAATTATCAAAAAATATTTCAAGCAAACTCTAAACTATAATTGTCGCAATTAACACCTAAGCAGAATTTCCGAAAATTATTTATAAGTATATGTCTATCCTTATTAAACAACTACTTTTTTTACAATGAAGTTAAGAGATACCATGTTTGCGTGTTTTGATAAAAGCGTTTATGAAAATTATGGTATTATAACCTTATAAATCATAAGGTTACCTATTATACCTTCTTAAAAGTATCACGTGTGAAAATGTACTACTAAAATGCTTCATTATTTGTTCTACCTACATATTCGAGAAGAAAACAGTGGATGACTACGTAATTAACTAAAGATTATCTAAGCGACCATCACTTAATGTACTATCATGATATAATCTTAGCTTGAAAAGGTCTATGTAGTTCGATATCCTGTATTCATCTTTATGTTGAAAAGAAAAGTTTTCTTCGATTACAATCTGTTCATGTGTTTACTTTACAATTACGAAATTTAAAATTAAATTACTTCGTATTACAAAATTATCATGTTATAAATATTTACTACATTATTTCTGATATAAAATGACCAGAGAAGTAATTTTAGAACAAAATTACTAATTTATGTGTTAACTTCAAATTAGCAGTAATAATTGCAAACTAATTATTTAAAATTATAATTAGTTATAATTATTTGCAAAATTAATTTTTAACTCATATCTGGTAGTAGAACACTATACTATTAGCACCGAATATTAACCAAAGATAGTGTTTTAAATATCCAGATAATTTCTGCATTCGTATTGAAGTCAATATTGACGTGAGGGTATGGGTAATAATAGCTTGTGATATTAAAGCTTAATAAGCAATATTGATATTTCTAATATTATTAGAAATATTAACCTCTCCAAAAAAAAATCCTTTATGGGTATTTCGCCACTGCACTGCAAGAAAAATCTACAAAATAAAATAGTTATTTTTTGTAAACACTTCTGCGTTTAACCTAAACGGACACTGCTTGTCAGAAGTTATGTTTACAGTTATACAAATTTGCCTAACAAAGAAAAAAATGCTTAACGTTTTGGAAAGTTTATCTCTTTCCGTCGTCGTCGGAAGCAAAAAAAAATACAAAGAATAAAGAAAAAAACTATTTAAAACATTTAAATTCAACTATTCGAGAACACTTTACTTTTTTAAAACAGATACGTCTACAAGAAACCGTTGACGTTCTGTTAAAAAAAAATTAACAAAACGTTGTGGTTTTTTTTCGGTAACTTCCTGTTTCACCGGAAATTACTACAATTTTTGATTTTTAAATGACACCCTCGGTATTTTTTTACTTTATTCGATAGAAAATATCACTCTGAATTGAAAGACATATCATGTCAACTTTTGACATTTTCGCATATGGTTTATTTGAAATTATAACTTGCGGTTCGTAACGAAAATTTGACTCGAAATACCAAGTGTATGGTATCAAGTTATGCGTAAAAAAATGCTTCCAAATATGCTAATGAGCCACCCTCGTTCCATTTGAAAAAATTGAGATATGATTGAAAATTCGATTTGAGCATTTTCTAACTGGCCAGGAGAAGACACTAAAAACATTAGAAGATCAAATCTATTTTTCCAATGCTTCTTGATTAAGAATTAGTGTTTTTAACATAGCTATGGCACTCTAGATTACATTTTAAAATACGATTTTTTATTAAGCGAGAATGTCAAAAGTTGGCATATGATATGTCATTCTATTCAGAATGTAATTTTTTATCGAATAAAGTAAAAAAATACCGAGGGTGCGATTTAAAAATCAAGAGTTGTAGTCATTTCCAGTGAAACAGAAAGTGACCAAAAACAATTGAATACGCCAATCAATCCTAATTTATGTCATATACTAACATACCAAATCTCGTTGTATTATCTGAAAAAATAATTTTTTGTTCCGGTTCTATGTTTTGACTCAACATTTTATTTTTACCAAGCACGGCTCCTGAAAAATAACTATCATTATTGTGACCAAATTAATCCACGCAAAAAGACTGGTTCCCTGTTTCTTTTTTTCATCATTATTTTTTCAATTTTCAGCTATCAGGATTGATTTTTTCAAGTTTCTCATGAATATCAGGAGTTGCTTCTGCTTCTGCAAAGGGTACTGCTGATAGTAGTCCCTTTGAGAGTCAAATATTTAAGCAGTGCTCATATATTTAGTTATTTTTTTTTTAATAAACTGTGAAAAATTCCTCCATTTTTTGAGGTGACCTCATTCCGAAATAAGTTTCCCCCTAATAATCGTCATATATTTCGCTGTTTTTAAAATGTTAATGAGACACAAAATTTATTTAGTTCAATGCCACGGAAAAGGTGATAATAGTTATCGGAAAATGTTATTAATTAAAAATATGACGTTAATTTCTTCTAAACCAGTACGGAAATTTGGAAAAGTACAAACGGGAGCAAAAAATTTTTATGAAGAATGCATTTTCCTCAATATATCAATAACAAAAAAAGTTTTTACTCTTGTAAAGACAATCCGGGGACATATTGTATATAAATATTTGACTAACAAATATGTTACTATCAGTTTTGTTCTTTTGCTTCGAGAAGAAAATTGGCATAATTAGGTAAAATTAAAAAAGAATCAAGTTTATGAAATAAAATTTTCTTTTAAATGTACGTCTTTTTACGTACATTTTTCGGCACTTTTGGAGTGACACTCCCTCATTTCGCTTTAAAACTGAACTTGAAGTTTCGCAATGCGTATTGCGTGTATCGCTGCTAGCGTGGAGTGAGACGTTCCACCTGCTTAATTGCGTGGAGTAATCGTCGTAATGGAACAAGAGCGCATGTGAAGGCATTATTCCTATGCAAGATTCAGTCTCCGTATCACTATGAGAGGAAAGCAATGTCCATTCTAAAGTAACTTTTATGTCCTATAGGATACGTCCAACGTTGGATCCAGCTTTGTAACCAACTTTTGGCACAGGTTTCGACAATATTGCAATTGACAAGTGTGTCCAAGAGTTCATGTGTCCAACGTTGGAAGATGTCTGCCACATCGTGTGGGACCGGCTTAAGAGTTGAATCTCGTTCGTTTCATCTCGTCTTAAATGCCATTTTTTAGACCAATGTTTCTTTTTTTTGTTGTAGTATACTAAAACTATTATTAACAGTATTAAAACTGCAAATATTCTCTTCCTGATTAAAGACACTATTTGAACTACACCGTTGACTTTTTATTAATGGAATGATATTTACAGAGTGAACGTGTAGGTTTAATTACACTCTTGCAGTGAACTCTCTAGATGTGTGATTCCGGGAATGCGCGTCATGAATGAAGGAAATAATTGTTTGTACTTGAAGCGAGCCCTTTAGAATTTAATCATTTAAATTGTCAAATTTCACAGAGACCTGAGAGCATCAGATTATTATGTTAGTTTTAACTTAATTCAAAGCAAAAACTAACGCCAAATTCAAATATCACTTTGTGGTAGAAGAACTACACGTTAAATATTTTTGTTGGGCCAATTTCTTTTATGAATAAAAAAAACTACTGATGAGGCTAGTACCAGAATCATCCTATTCCTAGTGAAGGTCATCAGAGGTTTCTTGGATTGATCTTGGATAGTCCACTATCATGGAAGCCTCATATATCTTATATTAAATCAAAGTGTCTCAAACATCTCAACATCATTAAGGCTTTTGGTAATTCTAAATGGGGTTACCATCCAACTTGTCTTCTTCAGCTACTTAATAGTTCTATACTATCTAAACTTGACTATGGTGATGTTGTCTATAACTCTGCCAGAAAGTCTTACCTAAAACCCTTGGATACAATACTCCAC